ACCAAGTTCGTCGGGTGGCTCTTGACCACGATGGCATCGCTCAAGTTTTCCGTGTCCATCCTCATGTGGGCAGAGGCGTGGGGCGGCGCTCTCTACGGATGGGTCTTCGAGAGCTTCGTGCACAAGCTCGCGTCGGAAGGCCAGCTCAAGCTCCGCGTTTTGGACTACAGCTCGTTTATGTGGTTCAAAGTGTCGGCCACGCTGACCATCGACGACTCGTTCAAGGTCGTCAAGGGCCCGACGAGCAAGAAAGGTTGTCTCAAGCACATCGCCGCTGGCTTGTGCGCGAACACATACTTTTATCCAGGCTTCGCCACGTTCCCAGCGATCGATGCCATCGTGGTCACAACGAAGACCATTTACTTCCTCCAGATCACCATCTCAGAGACGCATCCGACGAACTGGGACCACATGGACGAAATTCTCGAACGCGTGCAAGACAACGGCAACATCAAGCACCTCACGCGCGCATTTGTGTATGTGACGCCACCCACAATCGCCAAGTACACGAACCCAAGACAACACAAGGAGCTTGTGATGTGCAGCGGTGCCGTCCTCCACATCCCTGCCACCAAGGGGCTCCGATCGCTCGAGAATTAGCCAAATTACATGTCAATCTCACAATGCAGTCGTTAACTTGGTCTCCACGTGCGCCCGAAACCCCAACCGTGGAGGGAAATTCGGGATATATTGGCCTAGTATGACACAGCCATGAAGCTGTAGTGCCACGTCAGCATCGCCGCGTTGATCCGGTTGAAATCAAAAGACCAAAATTCGCAACACACCATCGAGTCGTAGCATGAGAAATGGTATGTGATGCTTACATATTTTTTGGAGCCGTCTAGTACTCCTCGCCGAGCTCCTCTTCCTCGCCTTCGCCCTCGGCGGTCTCGGCCGACACTTCTTCGTAGTCCTTCTCGAGCGCGGCCAAATCTTCGCGCGCCTCCGAGAACTCGCCTTCTTCCATGCCCTCGCCGACGTACCAGTGGACGAACGCGCGCTTGGCGTACATCAAGTCGAACTTGTGATCGATGCGCGAGAAGACCTCGGCGATCGCCGACGTGTTGGAGATCATGCACACGGCGCGCTGGACACGCGCAAGATCGCCACCCGGCACGACCGTTGGCGGCTGGTAGTTGATGCCGCACTTGAAGCCCGTGGGGCACCAGTCGACGAACTGGATCGTACGCTTCGTCTTGATCGTCGCCACGGCCGCGTTCACGTCCTTGGGCACCACGTCGCCGCGGTACATGAGGCACGCCGCCATGTACTTGCCGTGGCGCGGGTCGCACTTGGCCATCATCGACGCCGGCTCGAACGCCGAGTTGGTGATCTCGGCCACCGAGAGCTGTTCGTGGTACGCCTTCTCGGCCGAAATGACCGGCGCGTACGACGACAACATAAAGTGGATGCGCGGGTACGGCACGAGGTTGGTCTGGAACTCGGTCACGTCGACGTTCAGCGCACCGTCAAAGCGCAGCGACGCCGTGAGCGACGAGATGACCTGCGCAATGAGGCGGTTCAAGTTGGTGTACGTGGGACGCTCAATGTCCAGCGACCGACGGCAAATGTCGTAGATGGCTTCGTTGTCGAGCATCACGGCCACGTCCGTGTGTTCGAGCAGCGAGTGCGTCGAGAGCACCGAGTTGTACGGCTCGACGAC